CTTGGTTTTCCAAACAAAGGGAAAACTGTCTCAGCAAAAATGCAGCACTCATAGCCCAGGGAAGCTGGTGAAAATGACCCGGATGTTTACACCCTGGAGCTGGGCAGTAAGGGATTTGCCCTGCCCTTTGAAAGAATGTCTACACAGGAGGCTCTGGGGAATCCATTTCGCTTCAAAGGAGAGAAACTAACAGTGATTCTGAGAAGAACTGAGGTGGTTGTAACCAGGAGAACAATCTGGAAAACTACAAAGCAAGTGACCCACAGGCAGAGCCAGTAACACAAACTTAAAAAAATCCTGCTGCCACCACATCCGTGGAACAAAGCTGGAGCGCACGGGGCCCTGGTGACTTCCACAGGGCTCTGGAATGTTCCCCTGTCGGGATGAATATTTGGGCTTGTACCATAGGAATGTGTGTGGGGGCTTTTGGAAGGTCACAGCCAATCCCTCAGGCCTCTTGGGTTAAGACTCTGGTCTTTTCTAGGGGTGAGTTTACAGGGGGACGCCAGGTGGTCTGAGGCAACCCAGGAAGGGGGCTCCCTACAGGCACTGAGGGAGCAGTAGCAGGGTCAAATAGTGAGCAACACTTTGGGCTCATTTCTTTTTCTCCTAAAGATTTTATTACTTATTTGTCAGAGAGAGAAGGAGAGAGCATAAGCAGGGGGAGCGGCAGGCAGAGGGAGAGAGAGAAGCAGACTCCCCGCTGAGCAGGGAGCACCATGTGGGGCTCCATCCCAGGACCGTGGGATCATGACCCCAGCTGAAAGCAGATGCTTAACCCGCTGAGCCACCCAGGCGCTCCTGGGCTCATTTCTTGAGATTAGTTCTTGGGGTCAGGGGCTAGGAGGGGCAGAAAAAAACACCGCAAACTTTGCTTTCCACTTGCATCTGAAAAGAAACAGAATCACTACAAGTAAGGGTAGGGCAAAATGACAGCACCTGCTAGGTAAGGCTGCCCAGTGCCTCCCATCACCACGCACTGAGGCCTGGATAACCAGACCTCATTTCACATCGCATTTATCATTAGGGAGGGGGACAAGTAGCTTCCTTTCTAAGAAAGCAAAATGACAGAGCAGCCTGAGGAGGAAAAGAAATGATCAGATGCATTAAAAATAGCAGTTACTTAAAGAACTGTTGAAATCACTAGATCGTACACCTGAAACTAATACAACACTGTATGTTAATTCTACTGGAATTTAAAATAAAAAAAACCCCAAACTTTAAAAATAAAAAAAAAAAAATAATAGCAGCTCACAGACCCCATTTAGGAGCGCCGGCAGCCCCCAATGGTTGTTGAGCTCCCTGCTTCTGTACGGATCTGTCTTCCTACCAGTCTGTAAACTCCGTCAGTCTTGCTCACCTTTGCATTAGGAGAGCTCAGCAGATAAGGAGGAGCTTAATAAATAATTACTGGTGTGAACAAATAGGTGGTAACTACGTCAGAAATGATCAGCTCAAGAGAAGAAGGAGACCGGCTTCCAAATATTCTTCAAGCTCCAAGTAGGATGAGTCAAGGATATATTTAATTTATATAATAGCTTCCTATGACCCAGTGACTTCTCCGGGGCTTGAAATCGGAGGAGGTGACGATGTCACAAACTGCAGTCTTTCTGTAAGGAAAGAGTAAAAACCACGCAGGTTTCCAAGGAGGGGTGGTGGGGGAAGGACCGTCGGGCAGGTGCAGCGGCCTGCCTTCCCCGCCGCCCCCTTCTGCCTGCAGGCCGCCACCCGGCCGAGGGGGGGCGCTGGGCTTCCCCGCCCGGCTTAGTGTGCTTGACCAAAGGTGACGATGGCTTAGTGGGCTAAGGTCATGCCCTCCCAGCCTCCGAATCGATAATTTAATGTGACTTATCAGAGACAGAAAGAACTGTTTACTTTAAAACCCTGGATCCCATAAAGGGAGAGGGGAAGGGCCTACACCCCACAGGCGCTCAGGGCTCGCGGCCGCGCCGTGCAGCCCGCACAGACCCGCAGCCCGGCAGGGTCCGAGGAGGGCCCAGGCCCGGCGGGGCCCAGCGCGGACTGGAAGGTAAGCACCCCGCTCCCCGCGCCCCCTCCGGCTCCCCGGGCTGAATCAGGCCGTGCTTGGGGGTGGCCGCCGACTCTGAGAAGCAGGGGCGCCCCTCGCGCAGGTGATTCCAGAAAGCCCGCCCAGCGCCTGCGCGATGAGGAGTGTTAGCCACAGCCTGTGTGAACTTGCCTGCCGCGATGACTTTCTTCTGGGAGCCTGAGGAACCCGGGGACCTCCATGGAGGTTCCTCTCAGCCCAACCGAGGAGAGGAGCTAGGGAGGACTTGAGGGCCCAGAGACGCCCCGACTTTTACCGGTACCCTCGGAGTGCCCTGGAGCCTCTTCCTGTCCAGGGATGGTCTGACTTAACAGTAACCCCGAGGCCTTCAGACAAGATCCCATCCGCAGGGTAATTGGAATTAGGGGGCTCGTTTGGCCAGGAATCCCTGGCCTTTCCCACGCGTTGGGGCAAGCACCCCGCAGGGCTCCCTGTGTTCCCCTCTGATGCTTCTGAAAAGCCAGCCCCCCGGGTTGTTCCTCTGGAGCCTTGTTCCCTTCGCAGCCCTGCAAACAGTCAGACACCTGCGCGGGAATAAAACTGGTTCCCAGGAATCCCCAAGCCTCAGCGACTCTGTGGGAAGAGTCTGTTGAGACCCCAACCTGCCTGAGAATTTTTCCCATCTGCCCCCCACCCCTGGCTGGTGATAGCGTGGCTAGTAACTGCAGGCCTAAGGAGCTTTCCAGATTTCCCCTTGTAGATGGATTTCAATGGAAAAAAGAAATGTGCCTTTGCTCCCTGTCGACAAGAACGTTCTATTTTAAAATTTCCATGTACTTTCAAAATGACAAGACTCAGGCATATGATACTGACTTCCTTTGCCTTCATCTAGACTGTGACAGCTTAAAAGAGTCAAATTGATGCTCTAACACATCTGTTTGAAATGACAGTAAATGTGGATTTGGAATTAAGAAAAGCATCTCCATTTATCTTTTGCTTTTTAAGAAATTTTTTTTTTATGCTAATGGGTTAGGTTTGCAGAAAGGTGACACTTTACAGACCGTGGAAGCACTCGGTCCTCAGGGCTGGCCCTCAAACATTCTCAGCCCCTGGGAAAACAAAATCTGAAAGCAAAGACAAGCTGCTCATGTTTAGATCTGACAAGAGAAAGAATAGGGAGTCTTGTGATATTTCTTGTACTTTGCAATCTACAACAACTTGCAAGGAGCTGTGAGGCACACACAATACTTACAGGCTGAAGAATTTGCTAGAAGGTCAGGCTTGCAAAGGCTTCCTCCTTCATGAAATCTCCCTCCCCACTTAGGGAAAGAAACCCATGTCATAAAAAAAGGGAGCAAACCCAGGTTAGCCTGTTTTTCATACCCACAGCCTCAGTGGGAAAACAGCATTCAGAATGGACCACGGCAACTGGAAATGTCTAGAGATTCAGTCGAGGCTGAGGGAAGGGAGATGGGGACACTCTACAGAAACAGAGTTTTGATAGTTAGACGTTTAGAAATGCATAGCAGGTGACCTCTTTTAGGAAGTAAGACAGAAGGTCCTTACAGAGGATCCTTGTCTTTTCTAAGCCATGGGAAACGGAGCTGGCCTCTGCTCCATTACCCTGAATAACATCTGACATCTTCGCCTGATGCATTACTTTTCTCACAGGAAGTAACAGGTATAATTAATCCCCAACCAGCTTATAAACAGTCTGTTCTTTGTTAATGGGTACTACTTAAGTGCACTTGTTAAATTGGAAAATACTAGAACAAAATGTTTTTGTAAAGCTGCAGAATGAGAAATGACTGTGAAATTAAAATATATATATCTCCAAGGAGATCCTGCCATTAACCACTTCCATTTTTTTTTAAATTAGTGGCATATTATCAGTTGGTATTTGAAGAAACCAAAAACATTCTACTTGCTCGTGTAAACTGCTTTGCCAATCGACAGTTTACCCACTCCTACAGAAACAAACAAGCAATGAGAGACAAGGGCCGATATAACCACGTTTAAAAAATTGTTCACAAGGCTGAGAGCATAATAGGCACTCAGTCAATAGGTTTATTGACAGATGCAATAAGACCATAAAATTGTTGTTCTGCATAATAAAGTATTTCACTAATAATTTGCTAGGAAATTAGCCTGAGGCTCCTCTCTCTGCACAGCCCTAACTTTGCAAGCCGTGTAAGCTCTAACCTCTGAATTTAGAAGAGCATTTTGCAGGAAGGAATTTTTATTACGGGATCCACCAAAGAAAGAAGGAAAGAAACTTTTTAAAAATTGTTTGAATTCTAATTATTTTTCTCATTACAAAAGTACTACATTAATTGCAGACATTAATAAATGCAGAGAAACAAAAGGAAGAAAAAACAAAACTGTAATTCTACCACTCAAAGATAACGAGGTTAACATCTAATGTTTTTCCCCCCGGCATATACGCTTTGTCACAGAAAAGAGCTCGTGCTGTGTATACTGTTCTGTAAATGACTTCATTCAGTCACATACCTTCAATCTCTTTCCAAGTCAACAATCATTTTTTTACAAAGTCACCTCAAATGACTAGGTTATATTACAAATATATTACCCTATTCCTATCATATGGGTGGTTTGCAATTTTTGCTATTATGAACAGGGGCTCCGTGGACAACCTTACAGGTAAATCTGCATACAGATTGGTAGAAAAGAAAATCTTTTCTAACATTCAAGGGCTTTTTGCTTGCGATAAAGTTCTTGGACCAAAGAAATAGAGGTTTTAATAAATAGAAACAGGAGTTTTGTAAGCCTTATCTGAAACACCTCAACTTTCTCTTCTCTTCTTCCCTCTTCACTCTTTCTTCCCTTTCCTGTCTTTTGCAGATTATTAAGACACCTCCAGCATACAGAGCCCACCGGGAGAAGTGCAGGCGTGCTCAGACCCTGCTCTAACGTCCTGAGAGGCGGAATGGGCCCAAGCTCTTGCCCGATGGACGGCTCTTCAAGTATGTCCTACTGGGACCCTTCTAACCAGTGAATTATTCTCCACCCAGTGATTCTTCCCGACTGAGGCCAAGAGATTTCTGGAGCCTCTTGTCATGGGTCAGCAACATCCCATGAGTGACCCCGAAGTGGGGGTTTCTAAGTCCCTCAGGCAAAGACAAAGCAGATGAGCCTCGCTCTGGGGAGAAGCACAAGAGTGTGCCCACCATGGCTGTGCCCAGATGCTGAGGGCTGGCCAGACTGGGGCCAGCTGGAATTCTAGACTTTGTACTTGGTGTGAGTCATACCAAAACTGTCCAGGTGAAGAGCTCCCCCTGAAGACAGCCGGTCTACCTGTGGGCCAAGTGGCCCATTCCTGTTGCCTTGCAAATGACCACAGCCTGTCAGGGCAAGTGAGGGTCACAGACTGGAGCCAAAGGAAGTCAGGCGCCTCATAGGAGGATAAGCAAGTGAACCCAGTCAAGAAGGTAAGGGGGAAAAGAGGCAGGGTTCAACATCCCATCCCATGGAGACTGAGAGACTTTCGTGATGTGCTAAGAACTGCACATTCTAGGTCGAAGAGGGTGATTTCATGGTCTGCATGTGAATAAGAAGCTATTTTTACTGAAAAATGCAGAGGGTGCATATTCAGCTGATAAGAATGAGTCATTTCTATGGCCAAAGCAAGGCTCTGGTCAAAGGTTAGTAACTCCGTTATCCTGGGAAAAAACAAACTGGCCCCCAACCTTTGCCTTTTCTAGCATTTGGGGGAAAGTCGGGGATTAGGTAAGATGATTTATTTCCTCCCATTCTCCATGGTGGGCAGCAGTTCGTGTATCAGTTAGAAACCATTTTTAACAGGAAAGCCAGGAAAACAGAAGGGATTTATTCATAGGAGACTCCCTTTTGCTAGAAAATGAGTATTGTAAATGAAAAATTGAACCGTTCCCCTCTCTCCCTTTCCCTCTTTTATGTCCCCTCATATCCCACCCTCTACATTGGTGGAAAATGATCAAGTTGGGTAAGAGTTAAAATCTGAGCACCATCGGATACTTTGGTATACAGTAGATGTTGCTGAGAGTAAATTACAGCACATCAAAATGCTATCCCCATGCAAAATCATTTTAATTTTCTTAGACTGCAGAATTTACCATATTTACCGACAGTGGATTGGGATAGATGGGAAGGTAAGAGCTGAGGCGGACCCATGAATCTGGTGATACTACTACAGTTTATAATGCAGCTTTTCTTTGTTTCCGAAAATCAATTCCCTTTAGGGATTCCTTCTCACTTAACGCTCTTAGATAATTGATGCAAACAGATTTTCCATCCATTTCCATAGGAAGTTTCATTCCTATCAGTGGGAGGCCTTCCGCAGGGTGGTAACAGCGGACACAAGGCAATGGGTCACTTTATTAGCTCAACTGTTCTAGACACAGAAGCCTGACATTTTTCTCTCTTTCTGTGGCTCACGATGCTCCCCCCACTCGTGATCCCTCTTTTCTCTGCTCAGGTCACTCTGTGGAGCTGGCAAGGTTCCCTGATGGTGACCAGTGGCCATGGCGGAGTGTGGAGGTGAAGTTACAGATTTTCCTTAGCAGAGCTGTGGAGTGTGACAATGGTGTTTGTGTCCAAACTATCAAACGCCATTATCACACTAAATAGCTACTGTTAGGCAATCCTTCCGCTCAATAAATGCCTTGGTATCTGTGTGGTTTGGGCAAGAAGGTTCCTCTTACAGCAGAGTTCCCAGTCCTGTGTGATTACTGAGTAAATGCAGGCCCACTGGTGCTCATAACCAACCTGTCATCCGAACTTGGCCTCTCACATGCTGTTGTTAAATACTTTAGCTGGTGATGAACTTTCTTGCTTTCCCGAGTCAATAAAAAATATGGCCGTGTCCCCCGGAGCGCCCAGCACAATTGTTCAACCCAGGCTTGTTGAGTTGAAATGAGTAGTTAGGCAAGGGTCAGATCTGGAAAACAAAAAGTGGGTTGAGTCTAGGTTGTACAAACCAGAGGCTTATAGGAACAGAATTAAGTAAGATGCGTGGGTCCTCACTTCCCATAGTAGGAAAACAACCTTCTAGTAAACTTATACATGGCTTAACCGACCTTTCAGAAAGTCTTGAATATATTTGATTTCTACTGATGTTAACCGGTTATGAGGCTGACTTCTGAATTTGTGTGGTAAGTCCTTTTCCTTCTATTTCAATGAATTATCATCAGGAAATGTTATACAAACTATGTGTGAGTTGCCATAGCAAATCTGAACATTTTAAACCCAAGCAGTTTCCAGGACAATTGGACTAGCCGGGTGTTCTCGTTCGAAATACACCTTTTCCTCTGAGAGGCGTTTAAAGTAAGGAGTAGGTTCTGTTTGTGGGGGGCTGAAGCTTCTTTCCCGTGACTTGGCTACGTGAACTGGGATCTGTTTGATCAAATTGAAGGGTATGGAGCAACCATCAGAAAAAAGTTCATTCAAGCATTCAGCCATTCATTTACCAAACAAATCTATATGGAGAGGTTGTCATGCGTTGGGCTCAGCCCTAGGCACCGGGGAGGCTTTTAAATTAAATGCGTCTGACGTCACTTCCGGTAAAGGGCATTCTCGGGCTCAGGCCCGGGAATGGGACCATTCTGATTGCTCCAGTTATATTTACTAGGAAGCTCAAGGAGCAGAACTTCGCAAAGTAACTCCAAGTCCCTGGCTGAAAAGCACCCTGTGAGGGCAGTCCCCCTACCCATGATGCACTGTAAAGGCTCCAAGGTCCCGAGAAGCTTCTGTCCAAAGAGGAGCTCCATCCCTGCCTGCTCTGCGTCTCCTTCCATCTCCCACTTCTTCCCTCCTGGCATTGTTCACCGTCAAGAGGAGAACCAGTCCCCCCCGCACCCCCGAAATAATTAGCCCACGGACGTCCTTCTGTGTGGTTTTCTGGAGAGAGAGCGCCAACTGAAGGAGCAGTGACAGAGGGCTCTGTGTAGTGCAGGTGACCCCCATGCATGCTATTGCCTCCGACCAATGCAACGCAGGGCAAAGATGACAGGTTTGGGGGTCCTTCCGCGGATGACAAAGGGAGACTGGGTATGGTCCTGGAGTTGTCTGGAAATGCAAGCACAGCTCACCGCGGTCCCCTAAAGCTGAAGGTCTGTCCTCTGCCTGTGACCTTCCTTGGCCTGGTTATTCCTCAGAACCTCCTACGTCACAGCTGTGGCTAGAGGCAAGTTGGTCCCCCCTCTCCTTTGTCAAGGGACTCTGAGGGAGGGCCTCTTCCCTTCCTTATGACGATCTTTCCTTGTGAGTGCCCATAATGCCGAGAAAGTCAAACAGTGAAACACCATTGCCATGAAGTAGAAGTGAAGGGACATCTCAACGGTCGTGTTCGGGTTAGGAAGGGGATGGCCAGACTGTCTGCAGTGACCCAGCCCCTACGGTGGCGCTCTTGGACTCAGAGCCTCAGGCTGCAAACTGTTCCCAGGCTCAGGGACAATCCCAGGATGGCCTCAGGCATTCCTCTTCCTCATTCCCACTTGCCCCGAGATTTTGTTCAGACAGAATCAGACAGGAAGCCAAAGGAAGTTTTGCTTCCATCTCTCCTGCTGCCCCTGGCATGATTCCTGCCCACGTTCTCTAATAAAGCCTTCCTGGGGAGCCCTGCAGACTCCAAATACAGGCTATAGGATGGACAGGTCCACGTGGAAGTGCAGTCAAGATCACACTGAAGGGCCCCTGGGTGGCTCAGTGGGTGAAGCCTCGGCCTTTGGCTCGGGTCATGATCTCAGGGTCCTGGGATCGAGCCCCGCATCGGGCTCTCTGCTCAGCTGGGAGCCTGCTTCCTCCTCTCTCCCTCTCTGCCTGCCTCTCTGCCTACTTGTGATCTCTGTCTGTCAAATAAATAAATAAAATATTTAAAAAAAAAAAAAGATCACACTCGAGCTGGGAGGCAGCAGAGCACCCAGGTGGCCGCCTTGAGAGGTTTTCCTCCCCAGGATACAGGCCTTATGCTGCTTTGTGAGCCATGACTGCGAGGCCCTCAGCATCCTTTCATCTCAGTACAATGTGTACCTCGAATGTGACAGCTGCCGCTTAGGGCCTGTCCAGCGTCCCAGCCATCCCCAGATGAGGTTTTGTGACATAGCATGGCAGCTGACCAGATGCAGATGGCTCTTCCACACGTTTTTTCCTGAACTTTTCTTAAATCTGTATTTTCCACTGGGGGTGTGTGTGTGTTTTTAATCTGAAGCTACTAGAATGTTAGAATTGTATGCCAGTGTAGGCTTTATTCCAACACAGAAACTGAAGCCCAGAAAAGCTAAGGGACATGCCCAAGGCCGTTCAACTGGCCTGTGGCCAAGCCGGACCCAGGCTTTGCCCCTTCTTCCCCCGAGGTCACTGCTTGCCAAGAGTAGGCACAGAGGTCAAGTAGCTCTTGCTGAATGAGGGACTGGATGCCTTGTCAGAGTCCCCTTTCCTTTTATTCCTCTGAGAACTGTCTCGTTCAGGTTTAAAGGAATGCTCCCGAAGGCGGTATTCTAGAATTTGGTGGATGGGTCCATGTGGAGGCTCCCTGTTCCTTGCATCAGGTGGCGTTCACTGGAAAGACATGGTAGTCTGGTTACTTTGTGCCTCGTATTGTACTGAGCTCTGGGGACACAAAGGAGAAGGAGGCTGGGTCCCTTCTCTGAGCTGCTCTCAGTCCAGGACATGGACAGAGGTCTAAACAAAGACACTTAGGCCTCAGGGTCCTAGATGCCCCCACAGAGCCATGGACAAGGTATTCAAAGGCTTTCATTATGGCCTTCCTCTCTTTTCAGATGAAGAAACACTGAATCTTTGACATTATCATCTTTTTTGTTACTATGGGAAAATAATCGCTTGTCTTTATTTTGATGGTCCGGCTGCCCACAGGCTCGAGGTCAAGGGCATTTTGTTGCATTGGGTAGCAATGCTGTCCATGAAGATCTAGCTGCGTTTCCTTTGCCATCTGGCAGCATAATGGGCAGCGTACGATATACCGAGGGGCCTCAGCAGGGGCTGGGGGATGGACTAGAGTACTTTTCAGTCGTGTGTGTGTGTGAAGAATTTGCAATTTCTCAGAGGACTTGGGGAAGATGCGAGCTGGCATCACAATGCCACAATGCATTCTGTAGTCTGCGTTTGTGCTCACGCCAGTGGGCCACTAGGCCCATTCCTCCCCTGCTCCCCCCTTCCCTGTCACAGGAAGCCTCATCCCAGGTGAGTGTGGAATGCCTCAGTGCCTCTTAGCTGCCCCTCCCTTGGGACAGGCTCCAGGAAGCTGCTGGGTACGAACCCATGCACCCAACATGCACCATTTCTTCTATTTGAAATCCAAGTTCCCGTCCAAGCTTTGGAAGGAAAAGGAAAGGTTCCAAAACATCCAGGTTTACCAAAAAAAGTAGATGGCCTCTGCAGATTCCCAAGGGTTTGATCATAAGATAGTCTGCTTTAGACAGCCCGGTCACCCTCTGTCTCCTGATGAAAAGATTGGTGTGACGCAAAATTATAGTGTACTTAGAATACTTAAACACTGCACGGGATACAAAGATGACTCAGTCATTCATTCAACCAACATTCAGCCGTGTGTTCCTACTATGGGTCAGGTGTTAAGCTAGAATTTAACCTCAGATTTAACAGTAAGATGCTCCCTCCAACATCTAGTGTTGGCAACCTAGTGAGGGCTCAGACAGGCAAATGAGTCACGGCAGTGCGGAGGCTCAGAGCCTCTGAAGTAGATATGGGGTGTCATGGGGACCTTTAAGAAGGAAGTGCCATCGGTGGCAGGTGAGATAGGCAGGTGCGAGAGGGAGACACGCTCTCCAGGACAGAAGCACTCTGGTGCTCCAGAACAGCTGTACAGTTAAAGAGAAATTTGTGACCTTGGCAAGTGAAGGATAGGAGTGCTCACCATGTCAAGTTTCCACCTTGAGCTACCCACAGGTTTCTAGATCATTCCCCAGGAAGCTCCTCCAGACAGCATTTGAACTATGAACCTGGAAGTCATTTGGTGGGGATTTTCCCCTCTCACAAAGGCAGCCAAACATCCACAGAAAACAATCACCCTTTTCTTTTCTTTTTTTTTTTTAAAGATTTATTTATTTATTTATTTATTTATCTGACAGACAGAGATTGCAAGTAGGCAGAGAAGCAGGTAGAGAGAGAGGGGGAAGCAGGTTCCCTGCTGAGCAGAGAGCCCGATGTGGGACTCGAAACCAGGACCCTGAGATCATGACCTGAGCCGAGGGCAGAGGCTTAACCCACTGAGCCACCCAGGTGCCCCAACAATCACCTTTTAAATAAAAGAAGCACATTGTACTATTGGGCAGGTGACTGGGGCATGTGCATGTGTGCGTAGGTATGTTTGTCGGACACATGTTTGTGAAGAATTTCAGTTTCTCAAAGGAGCCGGTAAAATGGCATTAAAGTCTCATTCAACTGGAATTTTACTTTATTTTATTTTTGTTAAATCAGGGAAAAGCCAGGGCTCTGATCTCAAACTTGGGCTGAGGTGGACATCCCCCTGTTTGCCCGCCCTCTGAGCCCGGGGCCACACTCTACTGGGGATACTGCCCCCTCGTGGTCGGATGC